TCTGAAGCGAGCTAAAAAAATTGTAGCCGACCCCTCTCACCCCGGACAAAACTTGTTTGTGCCCCTTCCATCTGGCAGGAGGCTGAGGTCCATCAGGACTAAGAACACGAACAGTTTCTTCTCGTCGGCAGTCGGGCTCATCAACAGAGCCCGGTCCCCCACTGACTGACTCTGACATTCCACTGGTCACTCCCCTTCATACTGCACATGTCACTTTAACTGTCATTTCTCACTCGTCACTTTGTTGTCACTCGTTACTTTGTCACTTGTTTGATAGTGCACTTTATTTTTTTATATTGTTTAACTTTTTAAATATTTTTAGTGTTTAACTTTAACTTTATTCTTATTTTATACTAACCCATAGCCTTATTCTACTAACCCATTGCATTAGCATTTCATTTTATTTTATTACTTGTGCACTGCAGTCTTGTTGTCTATTGTTACACTGTCTACTGTCACGTACCAACCGCCAAGACAAATTCCTTGTAACACAGTGTGTGTGTGTGTGTGTATATATACGTGCTCTACATGTTTGTCGCACAATCACTGATGTGGTGATGAACAATATAGCCTGACAGACCGACACACACACTGCTGTGCAACGGATACAATAATAATGTAACTAACAAGGACGATTCATTGAAGCTACAAAAGGCAGACATTTACAATTGTTAACTTGGATATCAATAGGTTCTTTGACATGTGTAAATATCAAAAAGAGGGAGGCGCTTGCACACTAGTAGAGTTTAAAAACCCGCCGGTAGGATTTAGAACCGTGGCTTCTTCACGTCTTCGCCAGAAATCGGTTAGCCAGGAGTAACCAGTCATCTATCCAACGGTCCTTGAACACATCATGTATGACAAACGCTGATCCAACATGGTGATATCTAATCAGGAACCTTTGAGATCTTGTCCAAATAAGCGTTTTGAATTGCCTCGATTTGTAAGGAACATTACATTCTAACTCGTTATGTGTTAACATTTTTATGATTCACACCAATGTAAATTACTTTTACATAGTAGTAAAAATCAAGGCATTGAGAGGGAAATGTAAAGAGCCAGAAAAGTCCCAAACTCACTTAGGGTTCAAAGGCCTATGGGCAAAGTGTTCTAATAACTTTAATTTCACATGTGATTTTTCTCCTGTGAGTTTCATATTCATATTGTGCTTATGTAAACCTTTAAAACTGCAGTTCAGAGAGAGAGAGAGAGAGAGAGAGAGAGAGAGGGTCATAAAACACTGGAAAGCAGTGATTGGGGAGTGAGAGAAAAATCAAATAGAGGCGATAAAGACAAGTGATGGAAAACCATCTGAATAATAAGTAAGAAGAGAGTTGGAGAGTGTGACAGAAGAAGGAAAGGGAATGGAAATAAAAGTTGAGGAGGAGAAAGAGGGAATCACAATGGCATTTAAATAAAGCTCCTTTATATCCATATTGTTTAAATTCATCTGCCGTCCCACAGAGCAGGAGCAGCAGCTTCTTCTCACAATTGAATTAGCATCGAAGATCTGATAACTAGATACAGTATATTTTAAGCAGACAATCTTTAAGTTCTGCTTAAAAGTCAGCATGTATCCATGTGTCTGAGCGGGTGCACATCAAGGTTTGAAAACAGAATTTGGGGGAATCAGGAACTCTGTCAGCAAGGGAGCACTTCATTCTGGTTGTATTAGCTCCTGAGAGACAAACAAGTTGCAATATTGCTTGACCATCCTGTATCATCAGTGTGTGGTCCCATTTGTTCTCATGAACCAGAAAGCGATGGCTGTTACTGCAACCCCCAAGCCCCTCTCCATCCATCCAATCATATTGGTTCACTGACAGCGTCATGTGACTACGGCTGCATCCAAACCAGAGGCTGGAAAGTAAACAAAGTTGCGTTAACTGCATTAAAAAAATTTAGCGACATTTTAGCGGCCACATTAATCGCATAGATTAACACAAAGTAGGAAGAGTCTCTCAGTGTTCACTTCTCACGAAACATTCTATCAAAAACATTTAAACAACTCAGAGGCAAATATATGGAGTACGTAGTGGATTGTGTAGTCCTTGAAGTACAGAAGGAAGTGGAAGAAGGAGTGATGTGAGATCTTGAATAACACGCAGCAAATGAACACAAAGAGATCCTCACAGAATATGTGTGTGTGTCTGTGTGTGTGAGGGAGAATATTTAGAGGTCACCAGGCTAAGTGGTGATGGAGACAAACACCTCGTTCCATCTCTGCTCTTTCCTGACCTTATTAGGATGTGTAAATGTGTGTGGGTGTGTGTGTCTGTGTGTTTGTGTGTGTGCGAGAGGGAAGAATGGATGAAGAAAAAATACGTTGTGTGTAAGCAAACACACATAAAAACACTGCAGTTAAGTCAATGTTAATTATATTCTCATAATGGATCACTGTCTCTCCTCACACACACACTCAGTTCCCCTTTGGGCTCCTCTCAGAAAGCCAATAACTACACCCTCACATCACCTCACCCCCCCCTCCACTCACCTCCCCTCCCTCCCCTCCCTTCCTCCCTCCTCTGTATCCAGGCAGAAGCCATTAGAGACGACACACAGGAAACTAACCTTTTACAGACTGCCGATGACTCACGCCGCGCGGCACTAACCACACACACCCGGTGGTCCGGCACAAAGTACCCGTGCACAGCCTTGAATAAGACAGGAAGTCGCTCGAGCAGCAAGAGCTGATGAGCTCGTTCAAATATTCTTTCACGAGGTAATGAGGCACTGATCACATTGAGTGAGTCACTGGCTGTAAACTATAAAGATCAAACAAAGCAAGTGTGCTAAAATCTGCTGTATGTGTGCTGACGTTTCTTATAATATACAAGTATGCTAAGTAGATCAAGGATGCTAATCAGTTGTTTAACTAATACCTCCCACAAAGAAGCAATCAATATAAAATACTGTTCTACCTGAAGTGACAGGCGAGTTGTGACAAGAATCTTCTTTTTGTTTTTCTGCACAATACTAATTATGTATTTTTTTTACTTATCACATTTATTACTATTATTTTTTTATTTCAATTCTCTGGAAAAGAAAACCTTGTCTCGTTGAAAATAGAGGTCTGGTTGAAAAACGGTCTTAAAAGAGGGGTAACGCAGGCAGCCATATTGGAAATGAAGAAAGCAAGAATCCAATACCGAGGGACCAACATGTCAGAAAGCCGAAATGAGCTCCATCAATTTAATGTCTTTTACACACATGTGAGCGATGTCTGACGTTTCGTATGGATGGCTATTGACTTTCGCATTAATCACCTTCATCCAGTAACGCAAATGAACTGGTGTGCATCGGCCTGTGTTGCGGGACGGACGTTGGGTGAAAACATTCGGGTTGAAAAGAAGCAGTATAAAAGGTGATATGTATTCATGCCCGACACTGAACATTTTGCTAATCAGTAAAGAAAAGCTGTAATAAAGGCTGATGAGAACAACCTCCAGTTTATCACACAAACAAAGAAGCCAGACTTTATTACTCCTTTCAACCTTGATGAAAACAGCAAACATCGCATCCACTCCTTTTGGTTGTAACCTTCACAATAAAAGCAATAGGTTTAAGTAAGACGCTTATTTCCCATTTGCTAAGCAACACCCCTAAAAAGCTGCATGTAGCAACTAGCTCTGGTCAGGGTCCAACACATATCTTCAAGATTATCTAAAATACGTGCTTGAAGGCTGAACGTGAGCACAGTGAGTGAAATCAAGAAAAAACAGAGGAAGTGTTGAAACGCGACGAGCAGAAACAAACAAGCAGAAAGAAGAGGGGGAAAAAAAGGACAGGGTTCAGACAAATAAAACAAAGGTAGAAGGAAATAGCTTGCTTGTCATTGGCAACAAGTCCCTGCTCTCTTGTTACTGCAGCTACATCACATGAAGCCCTGAGGGACACAGACACCTTCAGCAACACACTCGCATACATTCACAAATCACAGTGGCGCACAGAAACACTTGGACCTGAAACTGTTGTTTGAAGCCACAGAGAACTCAGTGATCGTATCTGTACTTCATTCAGCTCATTGTTCCGTGTGTTTCCATCGCCGGCTGAAGACCAGACTGAGGTAGGCTGCTGCTGGTAAACACAACGCCTCCACTTCGCTGTTCGTGCCAGTTTCTCCTGAGATACTCGCCAAGATAAAAAAGTGAAAAGTTTTTGTCTCACTGCAACCACATTTACTGCTGCAACCACTGATACACGTTTCCATGAATGAAATGCAGAGGGGGGGGTTAAGAGCGCCTGCCTCCCTTGGGGACCCGGAACATAATATAAAAAGGTTGAGAGTGGCTGGGGAAAGTTCCTGCGGTGGGGAAAAAGGTGCTGTACAAAAACACAGGGTCCAGCACACATATGGAGGTTACGATATATAACCCTAGTCCTGTCCACATCATCAAAGTCTGCAGCAGACGAGGATGGACGTCTGCTCCCCACACAGGAGAAAACTGAGTATTCCTGCACCTTGATGAAATGTTTAGATCAACTGCTGCGTTTTCCTCCCTGGCTTTTTACAGGTTTTATTGCATTTGAGACAAAAAGGGTTCTCAGCATCTATTTGCGTCAAAGCCACACTTTGGATCTTTTTCATCTTTCTGGAATGAAGCGTGTGTCACGCTGTACTGAGCCGGAGCTGGGCTGAGATAAGAGTATTACTCATAACAGTCCAATAGAGGGCTCCGCCTGTGTGAGCTACAACAATTAGATATACAAAGTCACAGGGGGCGCACATACAAACACACAAAGAGAGCAGTCCTTGGTTTCCTGGCAGTGAATAACAGTCCTTAGATGTTTAGTATTCAGAGAGGGGAAGGGAACCAGAGGAGAGAGAGCAAACTGGCTTTAATAACAAAGCAGCCTCTCTGTGACTCCCTTACTGAGACTTGTTAAGTGTGTGTGTGTGTGTGTGTGTGTGTGTGTGTGTGTGTGTGTGTGTGTGTGTGTGTGTAGCTGGATATTATGTAATTTATTCCCACACAAACGCATAGAGGCGGTTTACTCACCCTAACCAAACGCATGGGCTGAAGGGGTTTCCAGTCGCCCTGAAACAATGAAAGAAATGTGATTAATGGATACCGAGAGTCTCGAAGACGCTTCTTAGATACCGTGCAACACATAACACAATTTTACACGCATGCTGTGTATCCTTACAAAACCAATGCAATTTCTCTTTACCCTCTGCCCTCCAGACTATCAAACCCCCCAAAGAAACAGCTTGGGATGTATAAAGAACCTGCTTGGCTGAAGGGGATTTATTTCCGCTGCTGCTTTAGAAAACCACTCAGGCGATAGCTCGGTGGGTTGAAGTGTGGTCGTATGAGCTATCAGTCATCAATGTATTGCCGACAGAATCGGACAGGAATACCAGTGTGGACCAAAAGTGGGTAAAAGTGTGTACTGCTGTAGGGCACTTCCAAATGTATTTATTTATATACCACTTGATGCTGCGAGTGAGCAGTAGACGTCATTTTAACGTAGAAATCTGAGAAATGGTTGCAATTGGGCTGAAATAGGGATTGAAATGAGGTGTGAATGTCAAAGACCTCATTTCAACGTCTTTTTAACCGGCTGAAAATATTCATTAATTAACTAGTTGCCGAAAATTCGGCCCACGCGAAGACGTGATTTCAACTAATTTATGATTTCCGTTAAAATGCCATGAATATGGAACCATAGGCCGTGTGCTGTTGATAAGATGTTTTTAGGACAAAGTAATGCGGGCAGTTTGAAACATTACTTTCGAATACGTAACTCTGCTTTCATCTGTAACGCGCATGGGCAAATTCTTAGACGCTTGCAGAGCTTTGACCCGGTGCAGCACGAGGCGAAGTTTCTACCAAAGAAAAGCAGTATGAACTGGCTCATAAAACCAGGGCTACAGGCTGCAGTAAGTACGTGAGAGTTTTAATGAAGCACACCTGGAACTATGACCGGTATTTTTTTAACTTGTTCTGTCTACTTGATACAGGGTAGGCTGCTTTCTGCTAAACTAGTTAGCCTCAGCGCAGGCGGCAAATCACTGTCAAAAATCGAGAGCGAAAATCAGGTTGATGCGCCCGCGTGAATCAAACATCCGCGAGCAAATCACGTCTCGCGCAAGATATTTGCTCGCTCGCGAAACGTGAACTTTCTCGCTCGCGAGGTTAGTCTCTGCTCGCGCTCGAAGGTGTTTTCTACGCGCTCGCTGTTTTTCTTTTTTACAGTAAGGGGGCGAGCCAGTCACCATGGTCACATCTGATTGGTTACAAACCCCGTCTTTGGATTGGCTGGAGTGATGCATTCACACAACTATAGAAGCCCATTTGTGCACTGAAGAAAGGGGATAGAAAGTCGAAATTATGAGATAAAACGTTGTCAAAAAACAAACGCCCCCCTCGGCCGTAGATGACAACCAGCTATAACCATCATTTACCATCATTACCGGCACATTAAGAGCAATGCGTCCAGCTCGCAGACCGGTCCGTATTTGTAAAATACCGGGAAAAAAAGTCTAAATAATGAGGTAAGATATGCGCAGGCTCCTCCATAGTTCGGTAACGTTGGCAAGATATTCAGATTCAGACTGACAGACCGGTCTGCATGAACTTTTGCTCGCGCAAGACAAGACTTTTGCTCGTGGATGTTTGATTTACGCGCGCGCATCAACCTGATTTTCGCTCTCAAATTTTGACAGTGATTTGCCGCCATAGCAGGTAGTGTGGCACTTTGCGTCTTTGCGGTGATGGCTTAAATCACAGACAGAGTCTTTGCATTCCAGGCAGGAGGATGATACGTCTCAATACTGCGGACAGACGAGAGAGGTAGCGGCAAATTACAAATAAAAAGACGGTAGGAAGACAGATGGCGAAATTTGATAAAAAGACGGGTGAGAAAAATGACGAACAAATGGCGCTCTCCAAAAAGAACAAAGCGGACAGCGAGAGCAGAGCATTTGATCCTCAATGGACGGACTTGTTTCGGTTCATACTTCCCACTGCAGCACTAAACCTGTGTCTCATATGCTTAGAATCCGTGGAAATGAGCTCCTCCACGTGAGGAGGAGAACAGCCCTGATGCATTAAGACCAGGTTTAAAATCCTGGCAGAAAAAAATACAGCTTACTTACCAAGAAAGTGGGGGAGTGGATATATATTTTATTAAACTGTTCAAGTGTTAAAATGTGTTGGAATGTGATCAAAACGTAGACGTCGATCGTAGACATCTTTTAAATGTATTTTCAAAGGAAAAATGCTCACCGGGCTATAATCTAAGTTAGGATAATTTTGACGGTTTACCTTTGGTGTTAGAAATCTTGGCGGTAATTGTTAGGACAGAGAGCTTTGAACAGCGAGGTGATTTGAAGTTCTCAGCAGGGAGGGGTGGGGGTTGGTTATGCGGGGGATAGCAAGACGCTCGCCCTGGCCCGTGAGGCTAATTCACCGAACGTGCTGTCGCCCCGTCACTCTGAATAATCATCCCTCTGAATGTCTGTCTGGCTTCTCTCTCACCGAGACGTGCCCGAGACACCGACGAAAGCCTCCGTTCTGACAGAAAAAGGCCGCATAGAATGGATTATTGATCTGTGCCCACAGACGAGAGAGAAATAAAAGATTGTATGTACAGAGAGAGAGACAGAGAGAGACACAGAGAGATATTTCAGGCTGAGGTGGAGATTGAGAAACAAAAAAGACTCTGTTGGCGGCTGGATAGTGAGCGTTCCATATCACTGCGCACTCAAAGTAACAGGTTTGATTTTGCGCGACCGTTAGTTGACATTTCAGTTTTTAGCTCGGTGGCGATCGCCGAAAAAAGACATTGGAAACAAAAGGTCGGGCAATGCAAGCTTTCACAACCGGAGAATTAAGGTATCATGAGCAATGTGAATGAATGAGATGGTACGAGATCTTGCAAGACCTAATGCGGTTTACATGCACGTATGGGGTCTACTGAAATGCAATACACAACGTTTGGTGGCTAATACTATTTTGTGCTGAAAGGCAGCTATTTACTTACTACTTATAGTAAGTAAATAGCTGTCGAGGCTTGCCGGCCCTCCCTAACAACACCCTCAACTGTTGAGTCAACACTGTTTTTCTTAATCCATCCCCCATACAATGTCTTCCTTGTCTTGTTATTATGCTGCCGGCATCCCTAAACACACACTCACAAACCTTTATCGGACAACTAATATTGCCACAGCCCAAAAGAAAACAGATGGCAGATATGAGCCAATATAAGCGCATAAAAGCAATCACAAGCAATTCTGTCTCAGAAAACATAAAGCCGCTACTACTACTAAGAGTAAACATGAGGCGGTGTCTCATCCCAGACAAAAACATTGCAGTGTTAACGCACACACACACACACGCTTACACACACAATAAAGTGAAATATGGACACCTTCTCTAATATGAGATGTGGGTCTATAGGCAGGCGCTGACATTTTTCTAAAGCGACATTGTACATTAAACTTCAATAACCAGCAGTGAACAAATAAAAATAATAATAATAATTGTAATAATACTAATAGATTTCCAATGCATGTGTAAAAGCCACTAGGGCAAAAGGGTGAAACATGTTCAGATGCTTGTAGGGCTGCAACGATTATTTTGATAATCGATTAATCGGTCGATTATTTCTTTGATTAATCGGATAAAAAAAAAAAACAGCATTTAAGCTTTAATTTCCAACCCTTTATTCTAAAACAGAACTGCAAATTTACATCGCAAAAATACTTGAACATAATAATTTATAAAAAATACAAATCAGAAAATTTAACAGGATTTGTTTTAACGTCAGAACTTGTTCTCTATACTACACTCACAAACTCTCACACTGACAAAAACACCCCCATGTTCACTTGAAGCTTATTCATTAAATTATTACCATCATTGTAGTGTAAGTAAATGTATACAGCTAAAAAACAACCAAGTGCTATGAGATGAATTTAAAATGGCATTTGTAAATAAATGCATTAGAGGCTTCTTAGTTGATTTAATGGATCACCATGTGTCTCCCTTTACAGGCATAACATCAACTACCGTATAACCCACTGTATATGCGCAAGCGCACTGGACTACTAGATATGACAGCATTAAAAAGTACAACACACACAAATATATTTGTCAAAAATAACAGATGTGGGACAAAGCACGAAATATATACAAAACAAAAGATTGAAAAATGAATGGTCCAAAAGAGGCGAGTAAATAAAAACGTGTCTTAGTCTTGCTAACTGCTTTACTGCTGTTATTAGCGAACTAACGCTAGCTTGATCAGCTGGATGACGAGTAAAAAGCAGCAGCGCTGCTGGAGGCTCGTTACGTTCCTCACGTCAAAACGGACAACGTGGTGCTCCCGTGCCATGTTCCCCCCCAATGCTCGCACACCTTGGACGACTAGTCGAACAGATGTTTCGTGGGGCTTTTGAGTTGGTTTTTACTTTACTCAACACATGTTCAAATGTAGGAACTGCATCTCACAATTTACCCGGGGTTTCCCCTCAAGATAAACTAAAGCACCAAAAACTGCAATACGGCTCCAACAATAATGGTTTCATTTGTTTTGGCTGACGTGAAAGTCGTCCGTCAAGCTCACAAACAGTACACTGTAACAAATTGCTGTAAATTTACGGTGCATTTCTAACGGTATCTTACAGTATGTCATTATAACTGTAACATACAGTTAAATTTTTCATCCTTTGCTTGTAAATTAACGGCCAATGTCATGAATTAACAGTTAAAGCTGTCGATTTACAATAATAGCAGACTACCGTAATTCAACTGCATGTTACATACAGTGCCTTGCGAAAGTATTCAGCCCCTTTGAACTTTTCAACCTTTTGCCACATTTCAGGCTTCAAACATAAAGACATAAAACTGTAATTTTTTGTGAAGAATCAACAACAAGTGTTACACAATCATGAAGTGGAACAAAATGTATTGGATATTTCAAACTTTTTTAACAAATAAAAAACTGAAAAATTGGGCGTGCAAAATTATTCAGCCCCCTTAGGTTAATACTTTGTAGCGCCACCTTTTGCTGCGATTACAGCTATAAGTCG